TTATTCTTTTTCCATCCCTAAAACATTTCGGTACAAAAAATCAACCACAAATGTGTTGGTAATACTATGAATGATTTGCATTCAGACAATTTTTTTCCACGCATATTGGGAATTTCTAATGATCTTTCAATATTGTACTGCAAGAACTTTAGTTGTAAAGAAATGAAAAAGTCCGAAATTAATTTTGAAAAGAATAATTGATATAACGAAAAAATAGGCATCATCCAAGAATGTGATGATTTGCGATATGCGGATTTTTCATAAACCATCCTATCGGAGTTGTATACTTCGGCTGTTGGTTCACAGGCTACTTTGCTTTGTCTCACTTTTTCTTTTTTTTTGCTTGTTGTTTGTGGTGCTGTCATAGACATTTCTGAATAATACCTTAGGCTCTGTTTGTTTACATTAGCAATACCTTTTACGTATTTGATTGCTTCAATTTTAATCTTAACATGTTACGTGTGACATATTTCACTTGTAACCATTCTTCATCATTTTATTTTGTATATATTTCACATTTTAACATTACCTTTTATATGTACTCAGTTAACGTTATTTTTGCATGTTCTACTCAATATAATTGTCTTTTGCATCTTTTTCATATTTTGCACTTTTTCTTCGCAATTGCAATCTTTCAAGTGCACTTAATAATCACTGAACCAGTTTTTCACGTGACGCATTGATGACAAATCTTTTTCTAATTTTGTAATACTTTTCTTATCCCGCCATTTTGTTGGCTTCTTGTTTAAGATCGAAATAGGTCATTTATTATCATCGATGTAATCTTCACTATTATTCAACTTCTCATCCCGGTAACGAACTATATGAAGTTGTTGTGGAATCGATTACCGGTATTCTCCTATTAATTTTTGCCTATTATCGAAATCATTTGTTTCATTTTTCTTGGTATCTACTATTATATTTTATTTCAATCCATTTGAATTTCAATTTTCAAAGTTCAAGCAATGTTTCTCTCATTGTTACTTATGCTTTCTAAAATTAAGTAAGAAGATATCAATAATATCGTGATTTACAAAAAAGTTCGTGATGGATTTTCAAGTTTTTGTCCCTTTTACTTTCGTGTCGATAATGTAGGCTTAATCTTCGCGAAGTCTTGGAAATTTGGGCTGACGATTCAAATACTGGAATGAGTAATGCTGAAAGTATAGATGAAAAAGTGGAGAGTGGTGGTGAAACTGGAGGCACCAGTACTCCATCATCAACATCATCGAAAAATGGCCGAAATCTTGACGGTAATATTTTGCTTCATATTTTTTTTGTTTACATTATTTCTAACCGTAATTTTTAAATTTTTTAATTTATAGTAAGCCTATTTTTAAATCGGGTTTTAATCTTTCTCACGAGTTTTTCTTGAGAAACTGTATTGTAAGAGATTTCAAAGTTCACGGACTTCCTTACTGAGCTCTGCTCTTATTTTATTATCTTTCAGTGACAGTTTAAAGTTCTTTTCATGACAGTGATTTCAGATAATCCGGTATGGACAAGAATACGAGAACGAATCACAGGAGTCGATAATATTGATCTGGCATGTGAAGGTATATACCAAGGATTTTACTTATACGTCGCAGCAGTGAGGTTGAAAATTTTTTAGCGAATATCATGAATCATTCAAGAATATGGTGTAAATTATTGTACTATAATTACGATTTGCTATTGCCGCTACTAACGGTGGTATGTGAAACGATGGACGGAATAGATAGTTAATGTCTCGTCTGTCTTTTTCATACGCCAGTGGGGGAGTTGAATCATTGATTTGTTAGATAAAGTGATTGTAAGTGCGATTAGGTGCGTTATGATTGTAAATACGTAAAATTTCGATTCCTATAAAATTTATGATAAATTTATGTTTGATTTTGTTCTGTGTCTTGCTTTGAATGCATATTTTTCAAATGTTTTAGAATCTATGGGATTATCTTCACCGTCTGGCTCACCATCACCGAGTTACAAATTTCCAAATATGGACGAGGACACAGCAAGTTCTTCCGCGCAACAATTTTCTATTGGTATATATTATTCTCCGAGATATAAACGTTTCTTTTTCTAGTTTTTTTCATCACCATGAAAGTATTTACTTTGGGATTAATGCACACATGACTTGGATGACTAAATGAAGGGCTTTCTTATTGACTCGCAAGTCTCATATTTGTTTTTAGATTCCGGTGGTGAAGCCAGAAATAGTGTGCAGTTTTTGAAGAAATTTTCACCTACCTTTGTTTCCATTTTTAATTTTTTGTCTGTCTCGTCATTGCATCTTTTCCACATATCCCTTACATAGATACCTCGGAGACTGGTAGATCTTGGGTCAGATCTAAGAAATGAATTTTAGCCTTAATCTGGAACATCAAATGAACATGTTTAATCGTAATAGTAGAGTACCTTATACGTGATATCCAGAAATATGATAGGAATAATAATAAAAATATAACGGGATATAGTGTATATCAAGTGTTAACATTTCAAATTTATATTCATTTTTGCAGAAACAAACACGGTTGAAGATAAAGAACAAAGCAGCTGTTTGCATGATGCATTCACTGCATCGATGTTGAAGAAAAATGATGAAGCACTGGAGAAGTTGCAGCAAGCGATTGACAATAACGAAAATTTTGATATTGGTAAGTATCTAAAATTTTGATATTGGTAAGTATCTACTGTAATAGATACGAAACAGCAATCTGAGTCGGTAGATGAATCCAGATATTTCTGAATCTCTTATATTTAATTAATTTTCGAGTCATATCAAAATTTTGATCTGCTGGATTCTAGAGTAAATATAATGGCTGAGGTTGGTTAGTTTAATTGAAATTATCTTCTGATTAAGATATCACCATTTTGATCCACAGATGAATTAAAATGGTTAAATATCTATTAACTTGATGAGCTTTCGGGGTTGCCAGATGTGCTTGACTTTGAGTTAAACCATTAGCTGAGAATGTGCTGCTGTGATTTCCCTGTCCTTCTGCTGTTTGTTTTTCACATTCTGAAATATTCAGTCGTCATTAAAAGTCGAACCTTAGCACTAGTTATTCATATTTGTAAAATGAATAATATTTTTGAGGTATCTTTTTGTGGTTAAAATCAATAGTTTGATTAAATTGGAGTATTTGATTAGCCGGTTGTCTGTGGTTTTTCGATAGATATGAATTTTGAAAGAAAAAACATGGATTTTTCAGATGACGTTTCTTTAGTGGACAATGTTTTTTCATACAAATTCAACAATACAACGGATGTACAGGACAAAATTGCTATTTGTGAAGAATGGTTGTGTTTCTTGGCAAAAATTACTCCTATCGCCACATCTCGGTGGCTTTCACATTATCAATTCAGTATTTACTATACATTTCACATGGTAAGAAATTGTTGCATTTACATATTTTCAAAGTTTCTCATGAATTCTTCCTATGAAAGTCAGAAAAAGCCAATCTACCTTTACAGTGGGACCTTGGTAGTATGGAAACACGGCTCGATATGTAATAGTCTAGAATACTTTGTTGTTCAGTGGTATGCTAAGTCGTTTTGCGTTTTAGCAAAAAATACAAACTTCGAACTGTCAATAGTTTGAAAAGCGATTGATTAAAAGCAAATTCAATAGCATGAACCTACTTCAAGTTTTGCTGAATTGCAAGGGCCGGTGCATTGTCAGAGACTGTTGGGTATGTCCTGGATAAGCCTGCTGCTCATTTTCTTTAAGAGTGACGGTTTTTTTTTTTTTTGCTATGTTGAAATCTTTCATTTCAGCTGGCGCTTGTTTTTCGACATTATGAAAACAAGGATGAGAAGAAACGGTTTTATAAAATTTCATTGCCTCTTTTCAAGTACGTGATTTCACTAGGATGTTTTACTTTCTGTTTTCGGATTATTGAATAATTTAAAATTACTACAAAAAACCAGTGATTTTAATTGCTCTTTCCCATTTGTAGATTAAATGTCTCACTTGTTACAGGAGTTTGTTACAAGCAACAAATTTAATACCGGAGACTTCTGAGGAAATAGTAAACACGAAACTGGATGTACTGTTAAGTATTTCCTTTATTGCCGTGCAGTTTCATGATGTGAGCGACCAGGAAATTGTAAAATACATAGAGGTAAGCTGATGTTCTTTAAATGCTTTTGCGGACAGAAAAATTTTTTTGCAACGAATGATCGTATAAGGCTATCGGCATCGTTTTCTTTCTTGTGCTTGTAATGATGAGTTATAAGGCATATAGCAAGGGGGCTATCGCTGAAAAAAATGGCACTGCTTACGTTAGGCCATTACATACAAGATATATGCGCAACTTATGCTTCTATCAATAGTATGTATTATCTGTTTTCTTTATCCATATAGCTATTGTCATCTAGCAGTAGTTCCCAAATTGAAATAATTCAAGAAGTTTGAAGAGTTCCTTGAAAATATAGTATGCTTTAATGGATTTATTTTCAGTGGTTTTATATCTTTCAGCGAGAAATGCGTTCTGTTGGAGATTCAGTGGCCGGGAATTATTCATCGGAAGCAGCAACACTGATGGTGCAGAAGGTTTTCCGAATCAGCAATAATTTAGAAGAACGCAAACGCTTGCTTAGCGGCAGAGTTGAATATACCTGATGTTACTGCCTTCATTTCCTTCACATCTCTTCGAAGTGATAGAGAGGATTGTGAAAATAATTGAATTTTATAGTTGTATCAGAAGAAATTACTTAAAGTGCTTTCTCCAAATGGGTCCTGAAGCGGAATCCTGGACAAAATGTTTCCTATATACTGCATGAAAATTCTTTTCACCTTTGATTTGAAATAGTTTTGGGGATTGAAAATTTAAGACGAAGTTTTTTCTGTATTTTGTCAAGCATGTCATATTTTAGTTTTAGGACCCATTTCAATCCTTTTTTTTATCAAATATGTTATACACATGTCACTTAACTTTGGTTGAATGAATTATAAGGTTTCTAAATAATTTGCATTCATACACAGTATCTCAGCTGTATTTGGTATTTTGGAGTATTTATTGTAAAACTCCAGTGAGTAAGATGTTGTTACTGGATGAAACTTCATGCCCACTGTTTCGTTCTTCATCATCTTCGCTATTTTGTCCATGACTATTACCACCGGATTGTGTACTCTTTTGAGTGCGGATCTCTTCCTTCATACGTCGCATTTTTCTTGTTTTCGAAATTTGGCTCGT